TTTCCATTGTCTCTTTCCACAGATGTAGTCGATTTGATTCCTGTGTATTCCATCTGGTGAGATCCATGTGTATAGTTGCCATTTATGTTGGTGAAAACAGGTATTTGCAATGAAGTCGTTGGTCTTGCAAAATTCAATCACGCGATCTCTGGCATCATTTCTATTACCAAGGCCAAACCAAAACAACATTGAGATACCACTTCACCTCCACTAGGATGGCTACTATTTAAAAGACAAAAAGGGAAAACAAGTGTTGGTGAGGATGTAGAGAATTTGCAACCTTCATCTGTTGCTGGTGGGAATGCAAAATGGTGAATCCACTGTGTAAAAAGTGTGGCAGTTCTTCAAAAAGTTAAACCTAGAATTACCATACATGAAAAAAGTTAAGAGATCATTAAAAAGACAGGAAAGAAAGAAAAGACCAAAACGGATGTCAGAAGAGACTGTGAAACCTGCTCTTTAACATCAAGTAGCTAAAGCCAAAGGAAAAAATGATAAAGTAAAAGAGCTGAGCAGAAGAATTCAAGGGGCAACTCGAGAAGACAGATAAAGAAAATGGAATATTATTCAGCCATAAAGAGAAATAAAGTTGTGATAATGCTATGATGTGGATGAACCTTGAAAACATTATGCTTAGTAAAATAAGTCAGACATAAAAGGACATATATCATATGGTCTCACTTATATGAAATATCTAGAACAGGGAATGCATAGAGAAAAAGTTTATCTGCAATCACCAAGAGTGGGTAGGAGGGGGAAACAGAGTGTTACTGCTTAAGAGGTACTGAGTGTCTGTTAAGGGTGATGAAATAATTTGGAAATGGATAGTTGTGATGATTGCACAACATGGTGCATGTAATTAATGTCACTGAATTGTACATATAAAAATGTTTGAAATGGCAAATGTTTTGTGATATACATATTACCACATTAAAGAAAGAAAAAAACTCAAGCGTTGGCATGGTGTGGAGCAACGACAATCCTCAAATACCATAATTCCATTCCTAGCAATGTGCCCTATAAGAATACTTGCAAATATATGCCAGTAAATCTGTAAAGAATGCTCATAACAGGTGTGATGGTTAAGATTGTGTGTCAGCTTGGCTGGGCCATGATTCTCAGTGTTTGTATGTGATCACTTCTATGATGAAATCTGCTGTGAGTAGCCAGTCAGTTGAAAGTGAGTTTCCTTGGGTGTGTGGCCTGCATCGGAATATAAGGAGAAGTTCTGGCTTTTTGCTCATTGTGGACCCTGCGGCTGCCTACTGTTCATCTGACCTCTGGTTCTTAGGACTCGAGCTATCAGCTTCTCTGCCAATGTTGGGATTCGTTGATCTTCACAGCCTGTGAGTGGAGCCCTGCTCTCCAACCTGCCGATCTTGGGTTTACCAGCTCCTGCAGCTATGTGAATCAGGAGAAGCCTTGGGGTCTTGCCTGCCAATTTTGGGATTCATTGGTCTTCACAGCCTGTGAGTGGAGCCCCGCTCTCTGACCTGCTGATCTCGTGTTTGCCAGCTCCTTTGGCTGTGCGAATCAGGAGAAGCCTCTATCCTAATCTATGGACCTGGGATGTTCCAGCTTGTACAATTGCATGAACTGTTTATTTGATATAAATCTCTCTCTATATATATTAATATACTTTACTGGCTTTGCTTCTCTAGACAACCCAGCCTAAGACAACAGGTAAAACAGGAAGAAGCTCAAATGTTCATCAAATTGTGGAATAAAGAAATTTGGGTAAATTGAATTAATATAATGAAATACTATGTAGCGATAAAAATGAAGAAAATATAGCTACATACAAGAACATGAATGAATCTCATAAGCATAATGTTGAGTGAAAAAAAGCCAGGCATAAAAGAGAACACACTTATAAACAAAATTAAATTACATTGTTTAGGGATGCATGCTTAATGCAATAAAATTCTAAACAAATGCAAAGACGTGATTGCTGAACCAAAGGTGGTTTCCTTTGGGGAAGAAGAAGGTTGTGATTGGCAGTGGGTACATGAAGGGCTTCTGGATGCTGGCGTGTTTTATTTCTTGACCTAGGTGGTACTTTAATGGTTGTTTGCATTATGATAACTAAATAACATTACATATGTGATTTATAAGGAGCCCTGGTGGAGCAGTGGTTAAGCACTCTGATGCTAACCAGAATGTCAGCAGTTTGAGCCCACCAGTTACTCCCCAGGAGGAAAGACCTGGTGATCTGCTTCCGTAAAGATGACAGCCTAGCACAGTGGGGCAATTCTATTCTGTCCTATAGGGTTGCTGTGAGTTGGAATCGACTTGACAGCACACAACAACAACAACGATATTGATGTCCTTTTCTATGTGTTTGCTACATACCACATTTTAAAAAGACGTTTCAAAAAAAAAAAAAATGAGAGAAATGATGTAAACAGAATAGCCTAGAGAAGAAGAGGGAGATGCATGTAAATGGATTTGATTGTGGTCAGAGGTTGGGAAATGGTTTGTGTAGAGGTGGCAGTTAATGGAGGTGGAGAGACTTGAGCTTCACTTGTGCCAGGAAACGGGATGAGAGCCGGATATACAAGATGGTCATGACCTCTTCCACAAGGAGGCTCATGGTCCTACCAGGAAATAAATTCATTAGCAATAGTGACAGACAGATATTTCTAGTTTATAAGTCCCCATCCTCAGCGTTAGGCTTAATTATTTTGCTGGGAGTCTTGTGAATTTCTAAAATATTAGCCACATAGAATATAGTCCTGGGAATTAATAAAAAACAAACAAACAGAATTTTAAATTGTCCCCACACCAAAGAAACATCAATTAAATTTTATATGAACAGTGTATCATAATTTCACAACAGTAGTCATGAATTAATGGTGGAAAATATTTTTCTCTACTTGAGCAAATAAACAGGCCATGTTGGGATTAAAGCCACCTGTTGGTGTTGGGAACTGAAAACAAAGTTAGGAAGTAATTTATTAAACAGTGCTCTATGCTTTATATATCAGTAATTATCTATGCTACTTATTATTTGGGCTTGACTTTCTGTAATTTGCTAACATCTGAGCCCATCTACAGTCAGGAGGAGGGATGAGAATAAAGATCAGCATAAATCTGTTTCCTATGAGATGGAGATCAGATATACCTCCACTCTCCAACTTTTTCACCATTTCTGACACCAGCCGTCCTACCCATGGCACTCTCTACTTCTCTGCTGGGTTTGATAATTTGTTGCAATAGCCACACAGAACTCACACACCATACTCATAGGGTTTATTAGGGAAATAACAGGCCACAACTCGGGATCAGGATCAACTTGGAACAGGATACAACTCAGGAGACAGGATATAGTTCTTCAATCAGGACAGCTTCCAACCAAGATGGCTCTCAGCTCCTTCTTGGCCATGCCTTCAGGCAGGCGGCCCTTCTCTTGGCCTTACCCACCTCCAGGCCTTACTGGGTCACTGCCCTACTTGGGCAAGTGTTACAGCTCTTTTGACTCTGCCAGCAAGTGCCCAGAGGCACCGCACTGTGCCAGCAAGCCTCCTGCCTGAAGGCGCTCAGCTCTTTGTTACTCTGTGGGTCAGCAAGCTTACTGCAGCCACTTTGCTCTGGTCTCCTGGTTCTTGCTGCTCTTACTAGTGTCAGTGTTTCTCTGATGCTGGTCTCTGCTGTGGTTGCCACTGTTTCTCACTGTCTCACCTGGTATTCAGTGTTACAACTCTCTCTCTCCTAGTTCTCAGCATAGGGACCCCAGGTCCAAAGGATGCACTCGGCTCCAGTCTCTTCTTGATGGTATTGAGGATTGGCCCTTATATAAGCCTAGCAGGATGGCACACCTGACCAATCCCCTCAGTAGACCACCTGACCAATCCCCTCAGTAGACCACAATCACTTAATTTGCATAGTAATCGGCCAATTCCCAAAAAGTCACTTAATCCTATTGGGTGATATTACACCTTATTTGCATAGTAGATCGACCAGTTTCTGCAAGGTGCATAGAATAGACCAATCACAGGTCAGGCTATGGCCCGACCACTTATTTTTGCCAGAATTATAAACCCATATGTACAAGAAACCCATTGCACTGCCCTCTCTAAAGAGGTTTTGCCCTATTAACCCAAGAACTTGCTCATACATACCCATAGAACTCTTTATCAGGTGGTGGATCCAAGTCTAAGATGTAATTGGGGCCATGTTAGCCTTTCTATGATCTCTATGATCCCACATCCCTAATTCCACAATTACAATTGCTATCACCACCACCACCATCATCTTAAGAATATTAAATAGTAAGTGTAAAGAAAACAGCAGAACACACTAGTTTTATTCTCCAGTTACTTGCTACGTATATAAATCCAAGGATGACTCCCCTAGAGCCCTTTCCTCCTCTTCCAAACAAATTTTTATCCTCTCCCCTCTGAAGAAATTCCAGAGCTGTCTCTGCATTTTAAGAAAATTTATACCTATGGAAATTATTAAATTATACACTGTATGATCTTCCAAACTAAATTAAAAAAAAATCTTAATATAAAAGTTGTTGACCGCAACTGCCAGTATTTCTATACCGCAAAAGAAGTAGGAGATTTGCATTCATACCAAAACCCACAACATTGATTGATTGATTTCCTTTACTTTCATTTAATGCTTAGTACAGGTAGCCCCAGAAAAAGAATTCTCCTCTTTAATTTCTAGTTTCTCTTTTACACACTCTGAATGGAATCCACTTGCCCAGTTTCTTTTGATGACATTATACTTCCACATGGAAGGAAAGGATGGAACATGAAGCAGAGCTCAGTGCTGAAGGGAAGAGCTCAACATTGCAGATTAGTTTTGTGTCCACTATTGTAGCATTATGGCTACGGCCTCATATGTTGGAATATTCCCCCCCCAAAGATACAAAAAGTATAGTTTTCTTACCTGTTCTTGAGAAATATTAAAATGTCCATGACTTAGATTAAGAGCCATGAATTCTACACAATGATCTCTTACATTTTTTCTCACTTTTTTTTTTTTTGTAGACTGATCCAGTTGAGAACATATTTGAACAGAATCTAAAGATCAATTTTTACATCAGTTCCAGGTCCACATCTCCTTCCCTACATAGTGGAGATGAAGCTGATTCAGTTCAGGTGCCTCCTTGGGGCAGCTTTGCTTCCAACTTTTCACTTGTAGCAACAATAACAACAATGAATGAATTCCATTGTGAAAAGAGTGAGATTTCTCTCCTAATCAAATATATTGCTTAATTAGGGACAGTTTATTAGAGAGTATTAAACTTCACTGACAATACAGGAAGATTTGAAACTCGAATGAGAAAATTGTTCCTGTAAGTCAATGAAAAAAGACAAAAATTCTAATTGCATTTAAACAATGAAATTAATGATGGTGTCTCTTCTGAACTGAAGATTAACAAGAGCACGAAACATGGTTATATGAACTGTGAAATGATCAGTACAACCATGGTGCAAACTATGAGATAACATGGCCGGACAGTGACAGTTCTCTCATTATTTTCATGACTTAATTAACATTAATAAATTTTGACATATTTTGTTGTTAGGTGTTGTCCAGTTGGTTCGACTCATAGTGACCCTACGTACAACGGAACGAAACACTGCCCAGTCCTGCGCCATCCTCACAATCATTATTATGCTTGAGCACATTGTTGCTGCCACTGTATCAATCCATCTCCTTGAGGGTCTTCCTCTTTTTCATTTACCCTCTACTTTACCAAGCATGATGTCCTTCTCTAGGGACTTATCCCTCCTGATAACATGTCCAAAGTATATGAGACGAAGTCTTGTCATCCTTGTTTTTTCGGAGCATTCTGGCTGCGCTTCTTCCAAGACAGATTTGTTTGTTCTTTTGTCAGTCCATGGTATAGTCAATATTCTTCACCAACACCGTAATTCAAAGGCATCAATTCTTCTTTGGTCTTCCTAATTCATTGTCCAGCTTTCACAGGCATATGAGGTGATTGAAAACACCATGGCTTGAGTCAGGTGCACCTTGGTCCTTAAAGTGACATCTTTTCCTTTAATACTTTAAAGAGATCTTTTACAGCAGATTTGCCCAATGAAATGCATCTTTTGATTTCTTGACTGCTGCTCCCATGGGTGTTGATTGTGGAACCAAATAAAATGAAATCCTTACAACTTCAATATTTTCTCCAGTTATCATGATATTGCTTGTTGGTACAGTTGTGAGATTTTTTTTTTCTCTTTATGTTGAGGTGTAATCCATACTGAAGGCTGTGGTCTTTGATTTTCATCAATAAGTGCTTCAAATCCTCTTCATTTTCAGCAAGCAAGGTTGTGGCATTTGCATATTGCAGGTTGTTAAGAGTCTTTCTCCAATCCTGATGCCACATTCTTCTTCATATAGTCCAGCTTCTTGGATTATTTGCTCAGCATACAGATTGAATAAGTATGATGAAAGGATACAATCCTGACAGACACCTTTCCTAACTTTAAATCATGAAGTATCCCCTTGTTCTGTTCAAAGGACTGCCTTTTAGTGTATGTACAGATTCCTCATGAGCAAATTAAGTGTTCTGGAATTCCCATTCTTTGCAATGTTATCCATAATTTGTTATAATCCACACAGTCGAATACGTTTGCATAGTCAATAAAACACAGGTAAACATCTTTCTGGTATTCTCTGCTTTCACCCATGATCCAGCGGAGATCGGCAATGATAGCCCTTGTTCCACATCCTGTTCTGAATCTGGCTTGAATTTCTGGCAGTTCCCTGTCGATGTACTGCTGTAACCACTTTTGAATGCTCTTCAGCAAAATTTTACTTGTAATATTAATAATACTGTTCGATAATTTCTGCATTCTGGTGGATCTCCTTTCTCTGGAATGAGTACAAATATGCATCTCTTCCAGTCGATTGGCCAGGTAGCTGTCTTCCAAATTAATTGACATAGATGAATGAGTACTTCCAGCGCTGCATCTGTTTGTTGAAACATCTCAATTGGTATTCTGTCAGTTCCTGGAGTCTTGTTTTTCACTAATGCCTTCAGTGCAGCTTGGACCTCTTCCTTCAGTACCATTGGTTCTTGATCATATGCTACCTCCTGAAATGGTTGAACATCAACCAATTCTTTTTGATATAGTGACTGTATTCCTTCCATCTTCTTTTGACGCTTCCTGCGTTGTTCAATATTTTCCCTGTAGAATCCTTCAATATTGCAACTCGGGGCTTTAATTTTTTCTTTGGTTCTTTCAGCTTGAGAAATGCCAAGTGTGTTCTTCCCTTTTGGTTTTCTATCTCCAAGTCTTTGCACACCTCATTATAATACTTTATCTTCTCGAGCTGACCTTTGAAATTTTCATTTCAGCTCTTTTAGTTCATTATTTCTTCCTTTAACTTTAGCTACTTGACATCCAAAAGCAAGTTTCAGAGTCTCTTCTGACATCCATTTTGGCCTTTTCTTTCTTTCCTGTCTTTCTAATGACCTCTTGCTTTCTTCATGTATGTTGTCCTTGATGTCATTTCACAACTCCTCTGGTCTTCGATCATTAGAGTTCAATGCATCAACTCTGTTCTTGAGATGGCCTCTAAATTCAGGTGGGATATACTCAAGGTTGTACTTTGGCTCTCGTGGACTTGTTCTAATTTTCTTCAACTTCAACTTGAACTTGCATATGAGCAGTTGATGGTCTGTTCCACATTTGGACCCTGTCCTTGTTCTGACTGATGATACTGAGCTTTTCCATTGTCTCTTTCCACAGATGTAGTTGATTAGATTCCTGTGTATTCCATCTGGTGAGGTCCACGTGTATAGTCACAGTTTACATTTTTGAAAAAAGATTTGTAATGAAGAAGTCTTTGGTCTTGCAAAATTCTATCATGCAATCTCTGGTGTTGTTTCTATCACGAAGGCCGTATTTTCCAACTTCCAATCCTTCTTCTGTGTTTGCAACTTTCACATTCCAATTACCGGTAATTATCAATGCATTTTTATTGCATGTTTGATCAATTTCAGACTGCAGAACTTGGTAAAATTTGCAAGATATTGAATCATAAATCAAAAACTTTCCAACAAAAACACTCCTGGACCAGATGGCTTCACTGAGAAATTCTACTAAACATTTAAAGAAGATTCAGCACCAGTCCTATTCAAACTCTTCCAGAATGTAGAAGAGGAAGAAATACTCCCTAAGCAGTCTATGAAGCTGGCATTACCTTGATAACAAAGCCAGAAAAAGACACCACAAGAAAGAAAACTACAGACCAATATCCCTTGGATGCAAAAATCCTCAACAAAATACTAGTACACAAAATCCAACAGCATATTAAAAGAATTGTTTATACACCATGACCAAGTAGGATTTATTCCAGGAATGCACTATTAGAAAATGAATCAAAGTAATATACCACATTAACAGAACAAATGCAAAGAACCTCATGACCATCTCAATTGATGCAAAAAAGGCATGTGATAAAATCCAACATGCTTTCTTGATAAAAACACTCACAAGATAGTAATATAAGGGGAGTTCCTCATAATGATTAAGGGCATTTCTGAAAAACCAACAGCCAACATTATACTCAATGGAGAAAGATTGAGAGCTTTCCCCTTAAGAATGGGAAAAAGACAAAGTTGCTCATTCTCACCACTCCTATTCAATATTGTATTGTAAGTCCTAGCCAGAACAATAAGGCCAGAAAAAGAAATAAAAGGTACCTAAATCAAAAAGGATGGAGTAAAATTCTCTCCATTCACAGATGACGTCTTATCTATAAAAAATCCCAAAGAATCCTTCTAGATCTAATAGAAGAGTTTACCAAAGTTGCAGGATACAGTGTCAATCACACCAAAATCAGTTGGGTTTCTATATACCAGCAATAAGAAATCTAAAAAGAAAATTGAGAAACAATCTCATTTACAATATCATCTAAGATAATCAAATGCCTAGGAATAACTTTATCCAGGGATGTGAAAGGATTATACAATGAAAATTAGAAAACACTACTGAAAGAGACTGAAGAAGACTTAAATAAATAGAAAGACATTTCATGGTCATGGAGTGGAAGACTTAAGATTGTTAAGATATCAGTCCTACCCAAAATGATCTACAGATTCAACACAATCCCAATCAAAATTCCAACAGCCTTCTTTACAGAAATGGAAAAACCAGTCCTCAATTTTATATGGAATGGCAAGAGGCTTTTAATAGCCAAAGGAATTTTGAAGAAGAATAAAGTAGGAGGACTCACATTTCCTGATTTCTGGTACTGGTATAATAATAGATACATAGACCAACAGAATAGCATTGAGAATTCAGAAATAAATCCATACATCTATGGGCAACTGATTTTCAACAAGGATGCTAAGTCCATTCAATTGGGAAGGAAGAGCCTCTTCAATAATTGGTGCTGGGAAAATAGGATTTCCACATACAGAAGAATGAATCAGGATCCATGCTTCACACCATACACACAAAAAATTCAAAATAGATCAAGGACCTAAATGTGAAAACAAAACCCATAAAATTATTAGAAAAAATATAGAGGCAAGACTGTCGGGCATAGTTTTTAACAATGGATTGTCAGATATAGCAACAAGAGCATGAGCAGTAAAAGACAAAATAGATAAATGGGACCTCATAAAAATTAAATACTTTTGTTCAGCAAAGGACTTTATGAAAAAAGTGAAAAGACAACCTATATATTGGGAGAAAAGCTTGGGGAACCATATTGATAAGGGTCTAATGTCCAAAATACATTTGCAGATGTCTACAACTTAACAACAATAAGAGAAAAAATCAAATCACGAACTGAGTAAAGGACTTGAACAGACATTTCACCAAAGAAGACATTAAAATGGCCAACAAACACATGAAAAGATGCTCAATGTCATTATCCATTAGAGAGATGCAAATCAAAACCACAGTGAGATATAACTTCACCCCCACTCAGGTGGTTAAGATTTAAAAAATGGAAAATAACAAATGTTGATGAGGATGTGGAGAAATCGGAACCCTTATCCATTGCTGGTGGGAATGCAAAATGGTACAGCTGCTGTGAAAAAGTTTGGTGGTTCCTCAAAAGGTTACACATAGGATTACCATATGACCCAGTAATTCCACACCTAGATATACACCCAAAAGAATTGAAA